ATAGAAATATACAAGTATGGAAGCATGTGACTTTCAAGACCAAAAGGAATATTATAAATGCATAATCATAAAATTCAAATATAATTTTCTCAGCATAATATTCGTTACAGCGAAATATACTATAAATGTAGTTGAATTTCATTATTCCTCATTATAGAAATCTTGAATATATTCTCAGGGTCTTTATTTGCTTGCTTAAAGATTTTTTCATATTTCCATGGATATCATTATCACTAATCCATATAGAGCTCTATAATATTAGTTGAATAAATTTCCTCGAGAATTTTTAACATTTATGCCTTTCAAGCACAGAATCCTTCAGGGATTTTATCTCTAGATATCTATCATTAATGTTAGCGTATAAATATATGTCTGCCATTAACTCATTGCGAGTTAATTTCGAGATTCTTATAATTTTAGAATAATCAAGTAATCTATAATTTATTAATTAGATCCATCATATTAAGATGGTATTTGTATCTCTCATAATCATGTCAACGTTCTTTGGCGTAACTTGGTGCAACAAAGTTTAGCTTTATATCTGATGACCACATTTCAATTATACACAAGTATCATATTTTGTAATTCTACTGGCTTGACATCTCTTGATGCCCATATTCTCAATAGACCATTCTATGTTTTATACTTTATGATATCTTAAGATCCTCTAATCTTTTAAAAATATTTAGCGCTATATCATATAAAATAATTGTCGACATTTCTTTTGAAAATTAGTTATTCATATTTTTCCCTGATATGACATAATTTATAGACATCTCAATAATCTTTAATTGATTCATGTTACCGTGAGTTTCTGTTGGAAACCTTATTTAGTCACCATATACTATTGGATTTCTCTAGAAATTGCTTTCTGAGAACAGCTATCTTGACTATTTCTCTTTTCTTTTCATTTTTTTTTTTTTATCTTTGTACAATATACCAGCTTTAGGCATGCCATAGATTCATTTAGCAAGGCAGCTATCCTTTAGGGACTTCATACAAGTTAAAGAGCATTTTGCAGCTAGTAGGTAAGTTATTTTAGTTATCTTTTCTTTTGGATTCAGTGAACGTTATTCAGTATACTAATTTGCAATATTGCGAATTAGAATTATCTTAAACCTTTTTTTTTAAAAATCACACTGCCTTTTGATGTAAGATTCTAACTAATATAATAATACGATAATGTCTTTTCCAATTAATTATTCTTCTTAGCTGCTTTTATTTTCTTCTCTAATATCGGGATTCTCTTTATAACAATTAGCAAATTGACTATTTGATAAATGTCCTCATAAAAAAAATGTAGACATTCAATATATATTACATCAGAAATTTATACCTGACAGATTTTTCAACTTTCTTAAGGACCCATCTTAGTGTAGTTGGTGGTGAATTAGAAATATTAACTTGCACATATTAAAAAATTAACTTATGGGTAATATTTGGATTCCTTGATCCAAAACCATTATATAGGAGAGAACGTATCAGTACGTTATTAGTTTTTGTCTGAATTTGCGAGATATTGCTTACTATACATATATAGTAATGTCTCTACAACAATAGATTCAGCTTTGTGTCTTCATTAATATTTACCTTTTGCATATCATTGTCAATATTTATATAAATGATTATACTATTATTGAGCATAAATAGACTAACACTGGTACCTTATAGTTATTATTACACAGTACCATATAATCATTAAAGGTCGATGGTGTAAATTCACCATCATTCTCGAAGATAAATTGGTCTTAATAGCTAGTATCTGAAAATTATATTTTTAACCAATTATTTGCTTTAAAATAACATCTGCAAACTTTAGGTTGCATGTTGACAAATAATCTTTGCAAACTTCATGTTGCCTAGATTTAATAATAATTTCATGTAACTACCTATTTGGATGCCATCCATATATTATCCAATAATCCACAATAGATTAGATGTATTTGAATCAATGATTTCACTCATTATATATTTTCAGACAGAAATGGAGCAGCTCTTTTATAACTTCTACTTGGTGAAATTGCCTCATAATTAATGCTTTTTGTAAAATGAATAATAGCATGAAAAAATTAATTAGAGTTGGTAAAGAAACTTTCTGATCTTATTTAATAAATTATCTATAATGGATTAATCTTCCCTTTTTGCATCATTATTTTTATCAAGGATATGGTCCAATTCGATCATCATGTTCCAAATATGAAGAATTTTGTAAAACTTCACGGTTCTACAATTCTAATATTTATTTCAATTTTTATTTTCATTATGTATATTCATCATTCTTATGAACTATCTTATGGTAATAATGCATTATGCATAATTCATTCTTTTAGATATATAAATTTTGCTCTTCTGGCCTTTAATATTCTTCTACTACCAAAGTCAAACTTTATTCTTTCAAATATTTTGGTGTAATAATAAGTACTAACAATATCCCAATGTATGTTACATTTGCTTTGTAACCACTTAAAGATGTTAAAATTTTAATTCTTATATGTGGTCACCATAATTACTAAAATCATTTATTTCAACTGTGATCTTATTTGTATTTCTATATGACAATATTCCTTTGTTATTATTCACGCTCCGATATCCATAGTTATTATTGCATTCACCTTCAGGAAATGCTTCAATTCTAGTTAGGTGGACATTGCTACAATTCCGCTATATTATGATTATTCTATTCACTTCAGGGAATGGACGCACATTGCAGTTGGGTGGCCTTATATGATCTTTATTAGATCTTTTTATTATTGTCCAATGTTATATAAGGATATGAAAAAATTTCAAAATATATAATAAAATCTTCTCATCTCGATATTGCTAAAGCATATACGAGGTATAAATATCATTAGCAATTCTATATCAAGAGCTAAGACAACTCCAAACATAATAATGGACAATATTTAAATTATATTTATTAAAAATAAAATCAATCAATCTCAAAATTGATAGCACATTAATAATATTATGCATATATATAATAATATTAATATAATAAAAAAAAAAATAATCTTTCAAATGTTACAGAAAATCAATAAACTTATAGTATTACGATCTTGCCATTAATGTTTACATCCATTCATGTGAGTTTTTTGGTCTATGTATCCTTCAAAATATTGAAACAAATTCAGTAATACTTGAATCTTAATTTGGTTGTCGCAAGAACCGATAAGTTACCCTCCTCATAATCTATAGAACAATCTGAGGTAGAACAATTCAATTGCTGATAAATTGTGTTATAAGATGTATAAAAAAAAAAATAGGGAAAATAGGAATAGAGAGAATAGGGAAGAACAACGAGAGTTCAATTTATTTTGATCTCGAGAGCCACATATATTAGTAACATACTAGTGAAATCCACTAGATAGAGTCCTATACAAACTAGGAAGTAGAGTTTCGATGAATAATTAAGAATACATGACTTCTTCCTATTTAGAACATCTCCGGACTATAATTTTCAATACCAAAGAGTAATAGTATATGACAATATTTTGCAAAAGGAATTTCATCAGGGGAAATTTTTTTTATATATTTTTACTTGATGCATGAAAACTATACTTCTTAAAAAAAAAAAAAAAGTTATGGTCTTTTCATATGATCCTTATCTCTTTAATCACCATTCAAATTTTACAAGGTAATATACATTTAATTATTATAGTGTATTGTTTGTTTATGTATTTGGAAGAGAATGGGATTTGGTTCTTTGATTTTTCTTCTTAATGTATTTGTACTTAATTGGATGCGAGATGGATCCACCTTTTAATCTTTTCCCAAATCTGGATATTTACCACTTACTTCATTAAATACTTTTGGAGTGCTTAAGTGCTAATTAATCAATCTATACATCTTTAGAGGATTAGTTGGATTGAGCATATTCAAATTTTTAATGCAAAATGATAAATTAATAAACTTTCTATTTCAAGTGTGAATGGTTTAATCTTTTTAATTTTTTTTAGGAGTCAATAAAAAGAAAAGAAAATTATAAATTATGCAATAAGGGCATATTTTTTAAATAATATTCATTAAATTGATGATAATTTCAAAACCGATAAATTGTCATCATTTATAACATATGAAAAGAGCAAATTATGCTTTTCCCTGATTAGAATATAATTCCTTTTAAATTAAATTGAAAAAATAAATTTTAATACAGAACTGATAAGTGATATCATTCAATTGTTAAATAAAAAAGAATAATCTAATGGTTTTTTTATATTTTTATTTGAAGAATAGTTTTAATGAATTACGTTGTCTCAACAAACATTTTTTTTTATAGAAGGTCTCAACCAACATTATCAACATTAACTATTAAACAATATATTATTTTAAATAAATAATATTTTCTTTTACATGTATTTAAAAATTTATAAATTTTTTATCATGGAGTTTGTAATTTAGAATATTGAAAGAGAGAGTATATAGATAAATAAAAAACAAATTATGCTTATTAAGCGAAATTATAAATTATGCATAGAAAAGAAATTGATGAAATATCAATAAAGAAAATAGAGCACGAAATAAACTAATAAAAGAACGCAAGGAAGCATAGAGAAGAAAGAAACCGCCATGAATAATATGTACTTTTGTTTTGTGTAATAATTTCTCTTTTTCCGTTACATTCTTCTTTTTAAGCAGAAAATAAGCCCCACGTCACTTCAAAACTCAATTATTCTTTCTCCTTCTCTTCAAATTCCCTTTTAACTTTCAACCATTTTCCTCTTCCCTTCTTGAGCTCAACATCAGTTTGCATGTTTTTTGTAATTATCTTTAAATTAGATGAAAGGGAGTTTGTTTTGATTTTTCTTTGTTGAATTATTCAAGTCTCTTTTTTCACCTCTGAGTGGTCTCTTTTTTTAGTTTTTTTGGATGGGACCCATTAAGAGGTTTTAAGAGAAAGAAAGAAAGCAGAAGAAGAAGGTTGACCCAGAATGTATTGGCTGCTGCTTGTCTTCATTTGCATCCCCAATCCCAACAGCCCTTGGATGGGTGGATGATTTCCTTCTAAGAGGATTACTGGTACAACAGTTTCTATTTCAGTTTTTTGATTCTACATTTTAATTAGTTTTATCATTCTTTGGTTATTGATTCCTGATCGTTAGATATCTTGTTCGGAGTTTTTTGGTGGTTGGTTCTGTTCTATGCACTGATATTAATGTTGCGTTTTTAAGGAAATGATTTTTTTTTTTTTTTTTTTTTTTTCACATAGATGAATTTTTATGACATGGGTCGGATTTTTTTTTTTTTTTTTTTTTTCACATAGATGAATTTTTATGACATGGGTCGGATTAAGTTTATGGTAATTAAGTTGATAGTGATTGCTGTTGTACATTCTTTACCAATTGTGTTTTACACATGTTTCATATATTCTTTTAAAAGAGTATCTACAAATGGATTGCTCTTTTGCTGTATGTGTATGGTTCTGTTCTTGTATCAATTGTTGAATTTTTAATTTAATTCCGTTCCTTCTGTTTTTGTGGTTTGTTGTTTACAGCTGCATTAGTTATGTTTATTATCTTTTTTATGGAATTTAAGGTCATGGGTCAAGTCTAGTTTTCACTGGTTAGATGATTAGCTCAATGACTGCTAGTGGGGAGGTTGTTATTATGCATTAAAAAGATATGAAGTTTATGAAGATGGGCTGTTTGTATCTATTGAAATTTTGATACAAGCTGAGATGCAGTTACTAATTAAGTATTTACACAAGGTAATGGTGAAAAAGATGCGCGTATATGTGCATTTGTGTAAAAGTGGTTCATGCTGCCGAACTGAGTAGACAGGACTAGTTTTTGTTCTGTGCCTGGCTGTCTGTACAACTTGGTGCTTGATATGCTAGTCCAGACTGTCCAGTGCTATTTTCTGTTTCTATAGATGAATGGATTTTTTTATCTGTATAAATGACTCAATAAGAACCTAAAATTGTTCATTAAATCCATTTACAAAGCAACTTACTTGTATGTGAGATGAAGGCATGGCAGACAAAGTTGTATGGACCTTCCCCAATTGGCCATTGCATAAATATTGAGGTTTCACTGGTTTTGCCACCAGAATCTGCCACTATAATTGTGTTTATCTCATTTGCTTGGTGAATATATATGGAGACACACACATGGTTGTATATAATCTGATTCTCAAACTATGTTATCTGCACTCCTAGTGAACAGTGCTTTCTAGTTTTTGTGTCAGTCCTGAAACTATGCTTTGTTTGAGGACAGAAATACAGAAATAAAGTCCTAGAAACACGATAGCAAAAATGAACATTGCAAGTTTTGTGGCATTTGTTTAAGTACAATCCATGAGTTAATTGTTCAAAATTCTGTACAAAGGATTTTTTTAGTAAAACCAGTATCCTTTCTCACTATATAGTTCTTATGAATGTTTTCCCAGGAACTACTGAGAGGAATACCTAACTTTGTGTGTAATTTATGTTTGTGAAGTGTTTTAAATTGTTTCATTTTGTTTGTTCCAGAAGCACCTATCAGTTTCCTGTTTAAACTTAGAACACTTTCTTTATGTTATTGAGCTTAACGTCAGAAAACTAAAGTAATTCTGTGTACATGGATGAATGGTTTTGTGAAACTTATGTATTGAGTGAGATTAGTTCGTAATTCTAAGAACAAGTTCATTGTTGGATAATAACTGGCATGTGTATAAAAATATTATGCATGCTGCTCTTTTTGCGTTGAGACTAAATTAAAGATTAATTATTCTTCTGTAATCAAGTACTTTTTTAACTTATGATTAGTTTATTTTGCTGCCTATCACCAAACATTCATTCCTTTGAAATATCTTATTATTTGTTCATTTCCTTGGAATATTTTGAGATTTGATTGTTAAATGTGCACGTGCATGAATAATTATCCGTGTTCTTCTTTTAGGGCCTCTATCAGAATCAAGAAATTCCATGAAATTTGAGTCCGTTTTCAAAATTTCAAGAAAGACATTCAACTACATCTGTTCCCTTGTGAATGATGTTCTTACGGCAAGGCAATCTAACTTCAGCAGTACAAATGGGAAGCCATTGTCTCTAAATGACCAAGTGGCTATTGCTCTTAGGAGGCTTAGCTCTGGTGAATCATTGTCAAACATTGGTGATGCATTTGGGATTAACCAATCAACTGTTTCTCATTTAACCTGGCGATTTGTGGAAGCAATGGAAGAAAGAGGGCTCGATCATCTTCGCTGGCCTTCCTCCCAAACGGAGATGGAAGAGGTAAAGTCCAAGTTTGAGAAGCTACATGGCCTTCCTAATTGCTGTGGTGTGATCGACACTACACACATTGTCATGACTCTGTCTGCAGTAGACCATTCAAATGATGTATGGATTGATAGGGAGAAGAACCACAGCATGGTCTTGCAGGCAATAGTGGATCCTGACATGAGAATCCGTGATGTTATTGTTGGGTACCCAGGTAGTTTAAGTGACGCTCTTGTACTCCAAAACTCTAGTTTCTACAAACTTTCTGAAGAAGGGAAAAGGCTAAATGGAAAAAAGATCAAGCTCATGGAAGGAGCAGAATTAGGAGAATACATTATAGGAGATGCAGGTTTCCCCCTACTGCCATGGCTGCTTACTCCTTTTCAACATGCACTCCCAGGTCATCAGGCCGAGTTTAATAAGCTACATTCTGCAGCAAGAGTGGTAGCACAAATTGCATTGGCAAGGCTAAAGGAGATGTGGAGGATAATGCATGGAGTAATGTGGTTACCTGATAAGAATAAGCTGCCTAGAATAATCTTTGTTTGCTGTTTGCTTCACAATATTGTTATTGATATGGAGGATAAGGCGCTCGAGGAGATGCCCATGTCTCATCATCATGACAAGGACTATCGGCAACAAATTTGCGAATCGGCCTCCAAAACTGGTACTGATATGAGGGAGAAGTTCTCTTACTACATATCTAATAAATTGCCACCTTGAAGAGTGTTAAATCATGCATAGACAGGCTGATATGATGGAGAAGTTTGAATTCTCTGATCTTTAGACCCTCTCAGGAACCAGAGCATGATCCTCAACATCTAATAGAGAAGGGTTGGATTGCTTTTTGCCTATTGTGTATTGTAGCTGTAATGGACATTGCCCTGAAAGGGCAAACAAAGTGAAAATAGATGGAATAAGCAAATTATGGATACTATACTGATAACTGACAGCAACATTTTCTACTTGTCTAAATTTTGAAAGTTCCTGTGTTCAAAATTGCCTTTAAGACTTCTCACTTGAGTTCAGAGCAAAGTTTTCACACCCAGGCCTGATCATAGACTCGGTAAAGGCAGTGGGTCAACGGATATATATTAATAATATACAAAATAATTTAAAATTACTAAATTTTATTAAAAATCATATATATACATGAATTAAATTAAATTGAAAATGGTAAAATTTATTAAATAAAAATATTATAATAATGAAACTTCGTTGCAATAAAATTTTTATAAATAATTGAAAATAAATATTATATTGTAAAACAGAAAAAGTATATATAATGATAATTATTTCTATATTACTAATACTTGAGTGATTTTTAATAAGTTTCACATATTGACAAATTTAATAAATATAATGTTCAGTATTAAGGAATGAAGAGAGTATTAAAGAATATTATTTTTCATAAAATAGAAGTCAAAATATTGAATAAAATTATTTTAGAAACAAGAACATATTTAATTTTGAGAAAAAAAAAGATTCTATACAAAAAAAAAAAGTTATTGAGTACATTATAATTATAATTTTTATTAGTAGTATAAACATTGAATATAATAATCGAGAGAAAATATTTAAAATAAATAACTTGTTTAAATAATCTAACGGCTTAAATAGTACTACTAAGTTATTGATCCAATTCCCACAAAAAATTTTGAAATTCTAGCAATAATCAGGATTATGAATTTTTATGTTTTCTTTTAAATTTCATTTTATATATCAAAGAGATGAGCTTTAAATACAAAGCACAATAGTCAAATTCCACCACCCCCCCAATTGTTAAGTGAATTTGTGCTTTTGCCCCAACTCTTTCTTTTGTGAAATTTGAGCCCCTTTCTTACATGGCAAGAAGAAGGGCTGGACTTTGATTGGTTTAGTTTGTTCGGTTCAATTTTTGTTAGAAAAGTACTATTTAACCCCTCGGGTTTGGCTCCATCAAACTAACTAGTCTTCAGTTCGAAAAATGAATTTTTCACTGTTAGTCAAGTGTGAAAGGTGTAGTTTCAGAAGAGAGAAGATTTTGTAATATTTTCTAGAATGCCTTTAAGGAAATTCGGGGCATGCAAAATTGTCGGATTATAAAATAATAACTCCAGTTTTCATTATTTTGTAATATTTTTTCATAAATTGCGAATAATGATTTTTTTTTTAAATTGCTAAATTACAAAATAATAGCTCTAATGTTATCGAATTATGAAATAATAGCTTTAGTTATCAATATTTCATCATACCTCTTAATTATTTGTAAAAAGTAATTTTTTATGGTTACCAGATTATAAAACAAAAGCTTTGCTTATCATTATTTTGTCATAAACTTTACTATTTTGTAAAAATTGTATATTTGTTGTTCATTCGGCCCACACATTTATTCCTGGGCTAAAACTAACTTATAATTCAAAAAATTTCTTGCTAATTTAAGGTTTATCCATTTTTTATATACATTACTTTTACTTTGTACTTAGCCGATATGAGATTCGCTTAAAGTGTCACATCATTAAATCATACTACAACTTCTATATATTCAAATTAACTCCACATATCTTTTTATTCTTATTCAATTACACCAATCTCTACATGTGAATTTCTCAATTACACCCTTACGTCACTATTCACCAATTAATTAATCATGAGATATTATTAAATTAAATATATCAAGACTAAATATTTATAGTCTAAATAAACTTCATATATATTAATTACTGTTAATATCATTCTTAAATCCAATAAAATATTATTTTTTTCTCAGGCGACACCATTCATGACCTGCTAAAATTATACTCATTCCGTCTCAAAAAGATAGTCCACTTTTTATTTTCACATAGATTGAGAAAGTAGTAGTTATTATGGCTAAATGACAATTTTATTCATATAACTTTCCTATTATATCTATCTTAAAGTACACATGAGCAATTATTATATTGGTAATAAGAAATAATGAGAGTTATTAAAACTAAGATCAAATTTAATAAAGGTATAATAGACAACTTAAGGATTAACTAACTATAATGTAAAAAAGGAAAGTGGACTATATTTTGGAACAAATTAAAAAAGAAAGATAGATTATCTTTTTGGACAGAGGAAGTAATATTTAATACTCGAAATTTTAAAGTGTTATATTTACAAAATAATATTTCAAATTATCAATATTTTATAATATTTTTAAATATTATTTAAAAGTTAGAAGATTATAAAATAATAGCTCAGTTAATATTTTTTGTAATACTTTATAATACTTTGTAAAAAGTAATTTTTTTTTTAAAGTTGATTGTTTACAAACTCATAGATCTCGTTCCAAATATTTTGTAATAGTTTAAAATATTTTACGGACAATAGCTATTTTTTTGCAAAAAATTATTGGATTATAAAATAATAACTTACAGTTATCAATATTTTGTATTTCTAATATTTTTATAAAAATGTTTTTTTTATAAAAGTTGGCGGTTTAAAAAAAATGCTGAACTAAATATTTTGTAATATTTTCAAATATTAAAAAAATTATTTTTTATAAAAATGAGCTATTTACACAATAAATAAGAGGTACTATTATTAATATTTTATAATATCTTCAAACTATTTGAAAAAAACACATAGTTTTTGTAAAATGAATGTTTTATAAAATAATATGTTGAAACACCAATGCTTTAGAAAATTTTCTAATATTTTTTAAGAACAACCTATGCGGACTATAAGCATTTTCATATGCAACAATTTAACCTAAATTAACAATTTAAGCTATACTCACACAATTAAACCAATCGATAACATTCGATTAAAATTAATTAATTATTAATTATAAATTAATTACATTAAAATTAAAATAATTAAATTAAATTGATTATATTTTCTTCGGTGTTTAGCTAATTTTTAAGTGAATTTGATTTTTTTTTTTTTTTTTAACCTTAATGAAAATCAAACAGACTAAAAAATTTTAATTTTTAATATGAAAATTAAAACTGAATCGAATGTGTTAAACAAAATTAAACTAAATCAAATTAAATTGTTTATATGGGAAGTTCGGTTTCCCCAAATTATAAGTTGAGAGTTGGACCAAATCGTTAACGATGGGGCCAAATAAATACATGGAGAAAAAAAGACATTCTTTACCTGTGGACAACAACTGGTTTGCAACTGCAGATTGAGCAATCCAACTGCGTTCTAGGATTTGAAATTTTTGGGCTAAACGACAATGACATTAGTGTACGAAATTTCCCTTTATATGACCTTATTTTCTTCTGCATGCTGGTTTTTCTACTTGGACGCGTGAAAAATAAAACAAATAAATGAATTTTTTGACATGGCTTCAAAACGTCATTTGAGCATTACTTTTGCAGAACCACTGTTTAAATCTTTCAATTTCTATATCTTCTTCCCTACTTTATGGATATGAAATGGGTTGGTCTTCTTGTGTTTATTATAAAATTTCCTTGCTTCGTTCAAGCTGAAACTGATTATGCCTTTGCTAACCATTCAAACACTTGGATTAACAATGACTTTATTACCAGAGGAAGCGTAGACTTTGTTGATGGATCTACTATTAGACCTGTCCTGCTTAACAATAGCAACCCTTTTGATTTCCCTGCTATTGGTTGCGGATTTTACGGTAATCGGACTACAGACTCTTTTTATTTCTCTGTCTTTGCAGTGCAGGCAACAAGTGATTCCACCATTGTCAAAGTAATTCCCCCTCAAGTTCTTTGGATTGCTAACCGAGCGAATCCTGTCAAAGAAAACTCCACTATAGAGTTTACAGACGAAGGGGAATTGGTGCTGAAAGATGCCAACGGCGCATTTGTGTGGTCCTCTAGTACCTCAAACGCAGGTGTTGATCAAATGAATGTTAGCGGCAATGGCTCTCTTCAACTTGTTAGTATGCTTGGGTTCGATTATAGTTCGACTTGGCATGGCGATATTATTTGGGAATCTTGGGATCTCCCCTCAGACACATGGCTTCCAGGGCAAAAATTACGGTTATCACGCCAGCAGACACTAACATCTAGCATTTCTACCTCAAATTTCACACCAGGTTCATTTTACTTGTCTTTACAAACAGATAATTTGTATGCATTTATAGAGTCTGATCCGCCCCAGATGTACCGGAAAATTTTCCAACAAGGTAGTGAAATCAAGCAATTCAAAACCGGGAGTCTCCGATTTCTAACAAGGGGAACTTACGTTGATTACGTGTCTAATATAGAAAACTTCCAGTTTTTGAGACTAGAACCAAATGGACATTTGACGGTCTATCTATGGATCCAAGGGTCCGTATCAATAGCTGATGATATCTTAACTGACAATTTAGGAAATTGTTCTTACCCCACAGTTTGTGGAAATTATGGTATTTGCTCAAACGGTGGAAGTTGTACTTGTCCTGCCAATTATTTCATTACGTTGAATTCAAGTCTTATATGTGAGGAAGCAACCCAGTTGTCCTGCCAATCTTCCCATATGCACTCTCTTATAGAGCTTGATAGAGTTTCTTATTTCAATTTTGTTACAGATTATCCCAACACTGATATACAAAGCTGCAAAACATCTTGCTTGAAAAACTGCGCCTGCAAAGCAGCCCTTTTTCAATACCATTTCACTACTTCAAGTGGCAATTGCTCATTCTTGTTACAGGTTTTCTCTCTAATGACAACTTCACCTGGACTTCTTCCGTACAACTATACAACGTTCGTTAAGGTGCAAAAACCTTTAGTTGCATCTCGTCCTGCAAGCCCACAATTTTATGAGTCTGTACCTGAACCTCCAAGTAACCAATCAAGAAATTTGGCGACCATTTTGGCACCAGTGTTGGTTGTGGCAACAATTGTACTTTTCCTTATTTGTTTATGCCTGCGATTTATAAGACAAGGAAGATCTAGTGGGGAATGGAGAGAAGACAATGCAGATGATGAGGAGTGGGAGAATTCATTACTTCAAGTAAACCTTAAAAGATTCACTTACCAAGATTTGAAATCTGCAACAGACGACTTCAGCCAAAAACTAGGAGGAGGAGGATTTGGTTCTGTCTTTGAAGGGACCTTGACTAATGGCACCAAAATTGCAGTGAAGCGCTTAGATCGGTCTGGGCAGGGGAAAAAAGAATTTTTAGCAGAAGTGAAGACGATTGGCAGCATACACCATGTCTGCCTTGTAAAACTTGTAGGATTCTGTGCTGAAAATTCACACAAGCTTTTAGTCTACGAATATATGAGCAATGGATCTTTAGATAAATGGATCTTCAACAGAAATCAAGACAATACTCTTGAATGGAAAATCAGGAAGAAAATCATCTTAAATATTGCCAAGGGGCTAACATATCTTCATGAAGATTGCAAAATGAGAATTGCTCATTTAGATATCAAACCGCAAAATATTCTTCTTGATGGAAATTTTGATGCCAAATTATCTGATTTTGGATTGGCAAGACTAATTGACAGGAATCAAAATCAAGTGATAACTCAAATTCGAGGAACACGAGGCTATATGGCTCCCGAATGGTTAAGCAGGAAGATCACAGAGAAAGTTGATGTCTATAGCTTTGGTATTGTCATTCTGGAAATTATCTGTGGAAGGAAAAACTTGGACTTCTATCAACCAGAGGAAGATGATCATTTACTTTTGTGGACAGTAAAACGAAAGGCAGAAGAGAATCAATTAATGGACTTAGTTGATAAATGTAGTGAAGATATGCAGCAAAACATAGAAGAAGCAGCAGAGATGATAAGAATTGCCATTTGTTGCTTACATAATGATCCCACAAGGAGGCCTTCAATGTCTACAGTGGTGAAGATTTTAGAAGGTGTGATTCCAATAGAACCTGTATATGATTATGGGTTTTTAACATCTACCGCGGTAGAAGCTCCTGATGGAGTAGTGATGGTACTATCAGATCCACAACCAGCATCAATCCTGTCAGGACCAAGATGAAGCAATATATATAGTTGTTTGCATCAATATCTGCTTTATTGATTAGAGCAACAAGGTAAAAACTTACTAGCTTTCTTTTTCATGTAGGAGCATTGTTTTTTACTACCGATAATGCATAAGCAAACGTATAATACATAATAATTGTCTTTTATTTATAGATATATATGCTTGAAAGAGAAATTTACAATATTTAACATTACTTAGAAGTTTCGGTATAGGTTTTAAGTTTTACATATTTTGACGGTAAATTTTCTTTTATAATCACCATTTGAAAATTGTCTGATTTGCAGATTCTGCAGCAAGGGATTTGTCTTCAACGGGAACAGCTGAAGTTAACTAAAACAATGTACAAGCATTGGTTTCCTCCTCCCAATGGCTAGGTAAACTCTCGGTTCACTTTTCTTTGGTTGAAAGGATTTGGGTTGAGAAGGTCACTTCTTCTATCTTTAATTTGACATTATTGGATCTTTGAATTTGATTTAATACCACTATCTTTTTCCCTAAAAAATAAAAGAAAAGAAACAAATCTTATAATATAATAACTTATTATTATATAGAAATATTTTATGTTGTACGAATACAAAATATGTAATTGAATGATAAGTGGTACGTTAATCCACTGCAGAAGATTACTGTCTTTTTTTTAAAAAAATGTTGTATATATACATTTTCCCATTTCTTGGAATTTGTTTTTAAATGGGTACAAATTCATTTTTTCACTCTGGTCATATGAAGATATATAAACAAGAACAAGAACTCCATATGAAGATATATAAACAAGAACTCCTCGGATAAATACTTCATGCATAGATATGCACAAAACAAGAGTAGACCCATAAATCTACCTTAGACAAAAATGGATGAACTCTGGCCAGAGCCCTAAGGGACAGAGAAGAACTACAAAAGACAAGGAAAAAAGAAAAGTAAAGTAAATAAAAGCAGAGAAATGACTGATGCCGGTAACAAATCACTAAGTGGATGGAGTTGTAGATAAGATTAACAGAAAATAAAGTGGGCGGGGTTAGGTCAAATTTATCTAAATATGATGTTAATTATGTATAAACCAATATAATTAATTTGGTTTAAAACATAAACTATAAAATCCACCAAATCGAATCATGAAGGGAGACCCTTACTGAATAAGTGTGACATTGCATGCTGTATAATTTCTTTAAAAAATTAAAAAATAAATGGGTATTTGATAGTTAAAAAAAAAAAAATCCCTCCCCATTATTTGAAAAAAAAAATAATTTTTAAAAATTATTTAAAGGTTTTTCAATTTAGGCCAAATTATTTTGAAGATTTTCCAAATGATTTCAGTTATGAAGTGAAGTGGATACATGCAAAATTTTCACCACTTACATTTATTCCTGCTTAAAAATTTAATATCTATATTCATTTTAAATGCGTTTGAAATTTCTTTTGAAATACTCATATTCAAATCTATTTAAAATTTTAATATATGCACCCATTTCATTTAATTAATAATCAAACCCGCTTTAATTGAATTGAGATGAATAGAATACTGAAAAATTCCATTTTATTTACATGTATAGAATCTCATTATGTCAATTATATAAAATAGAACTAGTGAAAATCATAAAAAAAATTAAAATAGATTTCAAATTCATAACTATCAAGATTTATAAATAAACTAAGAAAATATAAAAATAAATAAAGTTATCTCTATAACTTCCAAATTTTATTATTACTTTGAAATCAATATGCACTTAAATTTTCATCCGAAATAGATTTTGGTAGTTAGTGAATACCCATAGATTTAAAATTATAACCGATTCAAACCGGTTGTGATTATTCATTTTAATACTTGTTATCCAAAATTTATTTAAAGGAAATTATAATTTTGTCCATATAATTTGTCATAAATTATTAGCTTATTCATGCATTTTAAAAAATATATTATAATATCTTTATAGTTTATTTCTTTACGAATTTTTATCCTTCTGTCTATTTTACTCTTTTTTTTCAGTATAAGTCAAAGGAAAGGATACAATCAAACGAGAGAGACCCTTAACAATTACACAATTATTAACTGTATATAGTTTGCAAACTTTTTTCAAAAACCCACTTACTCAGATTTTCTTGAATACCAAATACTTCCCTTCATCTTCTATAACTTGATTTACACTTTCAAAAAACAGTAGCATCAGCAGCAACAAGAATACGAATCTAGTGAATTTTATGGCCATTAATTTGCTGACCGTCGAACCAAGTAAGATTTAGAGAGAGTCGAGTTATGATATTTTTAGAATAATCAAGAGAAAGATGAAAGAATATTGAATCTAATATAGATATAGAGATGGAAGAGTTACGGTGGAGAAAATAACAGGAGCAGATGACATTGATAAGGAAAGTTTGAATAAACCTATAAGAACCATTACAAGGTAAAAGATAATTTTTATATATTTGTATAGCAACAGATGCTATAAAACTAATTGATCAGTTTTTACATAAACAACAAGCTTCAGGTGATTTTGTTATTACTAAAATAAATGTATAAAGAAATTAAAAGAGAGTTAAAAGAAAAGAAATAAAGAAGACAAGAAAAGATAAAAAGGAAACAAAACTCACTCTCCCTCTCTCCTTTTCCGTTCCCCTCCCCTGCCCCCGTTCATTTTTAGGCCACCGGCCATGAAACCCGGCAATAAAGCACTCCAACTTCATCTTCGCAACGATAGGAACTCGCCTGTGGTCTTGATTTGGGAGGTAGAAGCCTGAAACGAGAAAGAACGTGACTGAAATTCGAGCGATGTCACGCGATGAGGTTTTCCGGTGATCCACGCCGTTTCCGGAAGTTCTAGCGTTAAGGGAAGGCACCGGTCGACTCCTCTCCTTCACACGACTATTTTCCCTCCATCGATTCTGGCCACGGAGCATTGAGGATGAAACCACCACAAGCGGTGGAGATACAGAACCCAATCCGACAAGTTAGAGGTCCGATCTCGCTCAATTGACGCCAGAAATGGAATCTTTAGCGAAATTTGAGTCAGGTGGAGGTGTCCTTGCGAATTCAGGGCTGTTTGGATTTTCCGGCCATCGTGGACGGCGGAGGTCGGTCACCAGCCTGCGAGACCCCGGCTGGGCCCCGGGAGCCAGAATCACCCTCTTCTCGTGCTAGTTCTGAATCCGAACTCTGAATTTGCAATTGGTAGGTATACTTCAAAGTTTAATTCAGTAATTTCAGTGTAAATCATAAATTGGAAATTTATTAGTATTGATTAAAATAATTAAGTTAGTGGTGTGAAATTAATGTAGTAATTAATTTCCAGTAATCAAAAGAAATTAACAGATTATAAATTATCGATTGAAGATGGCAAGAATTTGTAAAATGTGTGAAATTGAAATTAAGGACAATTAGGTCTATTAATGAGTTAATCAAAGAGAGAAAGAAATATTAAGAACGGCGGATAGGAAATTATTGTGAAGTGTCGAATGGATGTGATATATGAAATTCAGACAGATCAAATTATAAATAAAATGCTATTGGATTTTTTTAACAAAAATTATTGTGATATATAAAATTCAGACATATCAAATTATAAATAAAATGCTATTGGATTTTTTTAACAAAAATTATTGTGATATATAAAATTCAGACATATCAAATTATAAATAAAATGCTATTGGATTTTTTTAACAAAAATTATTGTGATATATAAAATTCAGACATATCAAATTATAAATAAAATGCTATTGGATTTTTTTAACAAAAATTATTGTGATATATAAAATTCAGACATATCAAATTATAAATAAAATGCTATTGGATTAAATTTAATAAAGTATTTGAAAATGTAATTTTAAGTGATATTTTAAGAAAAAACAAGGTAAAGAAACCAAGGATTTTTATTGTAAAATCTTGTTACATTTATTTGACAAAAAAAAAATAAAAAAAAAAAAAAAAAAATATATATATTATGATATTATATATATATATATTATATTATAATATATATATATATCATATATATTAATAATAAGCTAAGCTTTTTTGTTTTAATGGAATTTAAAAATAAATAAGCTAAGCTTTTGTTTTAATGGAATTTAAAAAGAAATTATCAAATTTAATTGAAAAATAAAATAGAATTTGTTAGATAAAATCAAGTTTAGTCAAATGGTTTGTAAAGTATGATATTTTTATAAAGTAAGATTTTTTAAAGAAAGTAAAGTAGCCAAATGATTTTGATAAATATATTTAAGTAAGCCTAATGTTATCTCTAGTCATTAAACAAAATAAATGAATTTAAATATATATAAAGAAATATGGATTTCGAAGTGATAAATAAGATTATGAAAGATTTAAATTAATTAGTCTGGTTAAGAATATAAATTTATGGTATTAATGAGATGAAATATAAATGTAAACTAAAATAAAAATAATAAGAATTTAAATATCAATAAAGAGCTGTAAACAAGAATTAAAATGTATTGTGTAATTTGATTATATGTTGAGATAAGCCACAGAAATGGTTTAAGAGTCAATAAATAGAGAAGAAAGGCTAGGGGAGTTTTTCAACTCAGGTTAGTGCATTGCTCCTTTCTTATTTTCTTTCAAATCGAAATGTATTTGATTTCATATTTAATTTCATAAAGAGGCTTATGAATCAAAAGGAAATATTAGAATAAGGGTTTTATGGATTTTGAAAGAAAAGAAGTATGATTTGATATGATATGATTTTTTAGATGATTCTTATAGTTAAATTGAAAATCTATTTGTATGGAAAGGAGAATGTTGGCCACATGTTATTTGTTGTATGAGGGGTGACCGTAAATGAATATTTTTAGAAGTGTTTGTGAAAAATGGATTGTTACACAATGTGTTTTCAATTATGGTTAATATATGAAATAGTTTATAGTCTCACAGCAATTAATAGACATGGTTATTATCGATATCACTTTATTTGTTGAAGTTGATATTGTGATTGATATTGTAAATGAAATTGCAAATGACATTATTCCCTCCTAGATGAGGCCGGGATTGTCCCTCTGTTGAGATAAAAAAATCACATATTAAGATTGAGATACTTTATCTTGATGAACTCATAGGACACTGATAACTCTTCGGATTGAGTCTATTTAGATTGTTGAGACTAAATTGGATATTATCAAGTTCTTGAATGGATGTTTTCTTGAAATTGTATTGATGCTATTCTATCATTTTTATGTAGAGCATCTATTGAATTTTAAGTAAGGAATTTCTATTGTTATTATTAAAGTGCCTTCTTCTAAAACTCTTCATTAGGTTTTAAGAGAACTTGATTTTAAAGTAAGAATATCTGAAAAAGTGTTTTCATACGAAATTTTATTTACAATTATTGTTATATTGGAAAAATGTGAATTTTCATTTAATTTTACATATATGCACCATTAAGCAATTTGCTTAGTGATACTTTTTTCTGTACTATCACCGGGAAAAGAAAAAAAAGAAAGCAAGAGAGTGAATCCTGCTAATTATGGGGTTTCTTTTTGTTTATCGTACATAAAAGAACTATTATTATAACTATGGTGTATATTGTTTCTTTTTTGAAATTATATATATATATACTAGCTTAAGACATACGAAATTAAAATTTATGTAAAGTCTTAAGCTAGTATATATTGTAAAGTCCTAAGCTAGTATATATATATATATATATATATATTATATATATATATATATATATATAATATATATATATACCTTTAATTATTATTTATTTATTGAAAATGAAATCGGCCATATATACCTTTATTATTATTTATTTATGAAAATGAAATCGGTCCGGTATATAACTACATTTCAATTGGGTTTATGGGTTATGGAACCATTTACGTTGATTATAAAATTCAAAATTTATGATATTATAATTTATCTTTCCTTATATATGTAAGCATATATTTTAAAATACAAAAAGAGTTTTTGAAAATGTTTCTAAGTATTGTTTTCCATTAATAAATTAACGAATAAAAAGATATGTTTTTAAATTATTTTATTTAAGTCCCTTGTAGTATGTTTATTGAGTTCTTATGCAAAATAAGTGCTTAATAGACATATTACGGGCGATATGCTATATTTTACAGTGAAGTAAGGTGTGACATTTGTGACATTTTTAGTTTAAATTTGCCAAATAAGCTAAATTTGACCTGAACTTTGAGGAATTAACCTTTTTAATCTCTATTTCTTGCTGCCCAACAACCTCCTATCACCATAAGAAAATTAGTGTGCACAGACAAAATTTACTGACAAAAGGTTTTTGTTGGTATTTAGCACAAATAACCAACAAAATTTAATTTTAAAATAAAAAAGATTGTTTAATATCATCAACAAAATACCATCAATTTACCGATAATATTGAATTTTTTTGCTAATAAGAGCGCCTAATATTGCTGCCTAATTTTTTAACAAATTAGTGATAAATTACCGATAAAATTTAGCGACAAATATCAATTTTGTCAATAAAAATTGCGGCGTAAATACGCATATATTTTGAGAATTTATCGTCAAATTATTGATCAATTAGCGACAAAATACTGACAAATCTTTAAAAAATTTTAAAATTTTAGGTAGAAATGTAGGAGGTAAATAATGAAATTTAGTGACAAATTACCAATAAATTAGTGTCAAATTACCGATAAAAAACTCCAAGCCAGCTTCAGAAGTCAAAATTAGCAATCTTGCTGCCTCTCTCTGAGATATGGGTCTTATGAGCTATTCAAGAACCATAAACCCATCAAACACTAATAAAAATGCAAACTTAAAAATTTTTCGAAAAGAAGAAGAAGAGAACAACGTATAAATATTCAATTCTAGAAAAATTAACCCAAAAAATTAAGATACACATAATAATGCAACAATTCATCAAGAACAAAACTGTTATAATAGAAAAATTGACTCCATAAGAACAAATATCGAAATAGAAAATTGGATCAAGAACCTATTAATAATATTAAACTCTAGAAAATTAATAAAACAAAAGATAAAAATTAAAGAAAAGAAAAATGATCCATTAAGAACTAGAAAACCCATTAAAATCCATCAAGCTTCGACAATGGTGGTTTGTTGATGACAAAATTATTCTTGAGAATAAATCCATTCTTGAATCGCTCCGACAGTGATCTAAATGCATGCAACTCAATATTTCTCCTTGAAACTGATTTATACCGGAATACATACACTTGCCATGATATTAGAGGGTCTAGGTCCATGGATTTTGAAATAAGTGGCCCTGCAAATTCTTCAAATGGTAAGTGTTCCTTGCTAGAGAACCAAAAGTTTCAACTTTATCAAGAATAACATTATACTTTGGGAGCAATTTGATTGAAGGTACTAGCCATATATTGTTCATGTTGACAATAATTCAATTCCAAATATGGATTTCATATTACCAAATTGAGAATTAAATCCAAAAATTAGAGAAACTAAACATTTTCAAGTTAAACTCAGAGATTAAACCCAAAAATTAACCCTAAAAATTAAAGAAATTAAAGAATTACATCTAGAAATTAAATCGAAAAAAGATAATAGTACAAACTTGTAAGAATCAAACCCATAATTAAAGATCAAACCTTTGTTGCATCTTCCTAAACTCTGACAATACATCGTTTATCACTTTATAATCCTTAACAATGGTTATACTTGTAGGGTCCTACAATACAAAGGGGTATTTAGGAGAGGAAGAAGAGATGAGAAAAAGAGAGAGAGAGAGAAAAGATGCAAGGAAAGAGAAAGAGAAGAGATTTGATGGAATCTTAGAGATCAATATGAAGAAGTATGTCATTGTAGAGGAGAGGAGAGAAGCTTCGCTTAATGTGTACCATTGGACAATAATGGAATTTTAGAGTTTAATCCACATGGCATCCGATTTGTTTCATGATGTGGCTAAGTTGCATGCGATGTTAGCTGTCAGCTTTGTGAAAATTTGCCTTACACGTCCATAAGCAGTTTTTCAGTTAACCATGTGATCCGGAGATGCTCAGCTGTAAAAATTTATAAATTAAGACATTCAATCGTTATTATTTTCCGTTGAACACCAAAATAGAAAAAGGTAAAATTCAGACAATAAAAATATAATTATCTCATTTTTATCTAAATACGGATTTAGGGATGGAAAAACTTCAAAACTATAAGGTTTTATTTCACCAAAATTTTAACTATAATCCACCTAGATCAAGCGACTCAATTAGGAGAAGACATCAAATGGAATTCTAATAAGGGGCATTATTGGCTTTGCTCCAATAATTAACGTTTCAATCGAAATAAAATAGATAGAAGGATAAAAGTTTGTAACAGAACAAACTACAGGATATTATAATGTATATTTTAAAATGCATAGATAAATTAATAATTTATGAAATGTTTCTCTTTATTTAATCAACTCCCAGTCTACTGTAAATGGAATTTTTGCAAGCCGGGTACCAGGGAAAACCGCATCGCTTCCATACTGTAGGGGAGTGACTAGTGCTTAAAGTCACTTGGATATTAGAGTCCTTGTCCCGACCCTTCATAGGTGCCCCTACGCCTATGGAAGGTGCCATTGGTTGCCTTATTGTAATCTTCGTTGCTTCGATGTAATATTTGATATATATAAATAAGGATTACCCTTTTGCCCCTATGTGTGATGTTGTGCTATGCTTTGTTATGTGTTCCTCAATGATGCTTGAATTATTCTTATATTTGAACCCATACGATTATATATCGGTATTATGTGTTCTAATGCCCATTATTGGCTTGTAGATAACTAATTGATATCCTTGGCTGGCTTGTTTGAGGGTGTGCCAAGCAAGCACCACACGGTCCGGTCTTGGTGCGTGATAGGGGACCATGACATTTGGTATCAGAGCCTTGGATTGCAAATAGATTGAATGATGAAAATGACGAAATCCTCCTGTGTTGAAGCTTTAGAGAAGCGGGTGGAAGAGCTTGCTGCTTTTATAGAAAAGAATGTGATTGTTGGTGAGCCAACAATTGTTCCTGAATGGCAAGAGGCCAACGAGCACATTGAGGGGCTAGAAGAGAAAGCGGTGGAGATGCAGACCACGCTCTTTAAATTGAATCGCTCAATTGATGCCCTGCGTCTCACCTCGGCCACTACGGACTACATTAAACCTATGGTTGATGAGGCGAAGACAAAGGTGAAGGAGTTCGACGACGAGTTGGCGAAACTTTCAGAAAGGATAAAAGACTACAAGGTAGTTAAAGAAAAGGTCGACTTGCTCTCAACTGCCACTACATTAAACCTATGGTTGATGAGGCGAAGACAAAGGTGAAGGAGTTCGACGACGAGTTGGCGAAACTTTCAGAAAGGATAAAAGACTACAAGGTAGTTAAAGAAAAGGTCGACTTGCTCTCAACTGCCACTACATTAAACCTATGGTTGATGAGGCGAAGACAAAGGTGAAGGAGTTCGACGACGAGTTGGCGAAACTTTCAGAAAGGATAAAAGACTACAAGGTAGTTAAAGAAAAGGTCGACTTGCTCTCAACTGCCACTACATTAAACCTATGGTTGATGAGGCGAAGACAAAGGTGAAGGAGTTCGACGACGAGTTGGCGAAACTTTCAGAAAGGATAAAAGACTACAAGGTAGTTAAAGAAAAGGTCGACTTGCTCTCAACTGCCACTAGAAATGTAGAAGTCCACCCTTTGAGAAATGGGAAAATGAAAATTCCAAATCCACCCCCTTTCAAAGGAGTGTGAGATGCACGGTCAGTAGATAATTTCCTCTTCGATCTGGACACTTACTTTAAGGCCACGAACACCACCTCAAACGAAGAAAAATTGAGCCTTGTTCCAATGTTTTTAGCAGAAGATGGCAAGCTATGGTGGCGCACCAAGGTTGAGGATGTGTAAGCTGGCCAAACCAGTATGAGCACTTGGGACGAGTTTTGCCAAGTATTGAAATCAGCATTCTACCCCGAGAGAATGGCATATATTGCTCGGCATAGGTTGGCAAAAATACAGCATACAGATTCTGTTCGAGAGTATGTGCGACAATTCACCCAATGCATGCTGGATATCAAAACTATGGGGGATGACGATCGATTATACTTTTTCTGGAAGAATACAACCATGGGCTAAGGATAAGTTGGACGCTCAGAAGGTCGACGACTATGAATCGGCGATAAGAGCAGCAGAGGCACTGAATGACTATGGGCGGAACTTTCCCAAACGCAAATTCGGTCAACCATGTGCGGGTGAGACCCACAGGTGGGGGAGCAAGTTCAACCAATTCAAAAGTGAATGTGGAAAGGAGGCCTTGGAACTCCAGCTATAAAAATGCCCCAAGTCAGGCAATAGTCGAGAATGCTGAGCCACGAAAGAACTTCACTTTCCCAGAGGAACGTTGAGCACCCGGAGGAAATAACATGGGAGGGGGAGTGGCTAGAACCATCAAATGTTTCTTTTGTAAAGGGCCGCATAAAATATCAGAATGCACGGTAAGAGACAAGGCCATGAATGCCCTCTATCTACAAGAAGAAAGCAAGCATGAAAGACTGTCTTCAGACTCAGGCAATGTTGATCGTGCTGTAGTTGGAGCATTGAGATTCTTAGGGGCCTTGGAATGACAGGCTGGGGAAAAGACCGTACCACCTAAAAAGGGATTGATGTATATTGACTTCACTCTAAACGGAAAGTCAGCAAAGGCGATGGTGGATACGGGAGCAACGAATAACTTTTTGAATTTTCCCATGGTATCGAAATTCAAACTACAAGTGAAGAAGGATTCGAGGAAGTTGAAGGCAGTGAATTCGGAGGCAGTCAAAACAGTGGGAGTTGCTGCTGATGTCCCATGTCGAGTAGGGTCTTGGGAAGGGAACATAAACTTCACAGTGGCTCTGATGGATGACTTCGATATTGTTTTGGGATTGGATTTTTTGAATGTGGCAAAGGGCATGCCGATCCCTACTGGGAATTGTCTTATTCTGATGGGGGAACAACCGTGTGTTGTGCTAGCAACTATTAGTCCCATTAATGAAAAGAAGCTGTTATCAGCCCTCCAGTTCAAGAAAGGGATAAAGGGGGATGAACCCTCGTATGTAGTAATCCTAATCCATAAAGAAGAGATAGAGCCCACTGGCCACCCCGAGTTCATCAATGAGGTGATGTTGGAATATAAGGATATTATGCCGGAGCAATTGCCTAAAATCATACCTCCCTGTCGAGATGTTGATCACCAGATTGAGCTACTACCTGGGGCCAAACCTCCTGCTCGGGCCCCCTATAGAATGGCACCACCAGAATTAGTAGAGTTGAGAAGACAACTAGATGAGCTTTTAGAGGCAGGATTTATCAGACCCTCTAAGGCTCCTTTTGGGGCCCCAGTACTATTCCAGAAGAAGCAAGATGGTAGCCTGAGACTTTGTATCGATTACCGAGCTCTGAATAAGGTCACGGTGAGGAATAAATACCTCATCCCACTGATAGCAGATCTGTTCGACCAGTTGGGATAAGCTCGGTATTTCACCAAGCTAGATCTTCGATCGGGCTATCACCAAGTCCGTATAGTCGAAGGGGATGAATCTAAAACAACATGCGTGACTCGGTATGGAGCATTCGAATTTCTTATCATGCCTTTTGGTTTAACTAATGCACCTGCTACTTTTTGTACTGTAATGAACTAGGTATTTTATGAGTATCTGGACAAATTTGTGGTGGTGTACTTAGATGACATCGTGGTGTACACCAACAGCCTAGAAGAGCACAAAGCCCATTTCCAGCTGGTCTTTAACAAGTTTCGAGAGAATAAACTGTTCTTGAAAAAGGAAAAGTGTGCCTTTGGCCAGCAACGCATCAAATTCTTGGGACATGTCATTGAACAAGGCCGGGTCAAAATGGATGAAGCAAAAATTCAGGCCATTAAAAAGTGGATGATCCCGTCTAGCGTGACAGAACTTCGATCCTTCTTGTGATTGACCAACTACTGCAGGTGCTTTATACAGGGATATTCACACAAGGCTTGGCCGTTGACGGAGTTATTAAAGAAGGGTTAGGCTTGGGTATGGTCGCAGAAGTGTCAAGAAGCTTTTAAGAATCTCAAAGGGGCTACAATAGCAAAACCTGTATTGGCTCTTCCAAATATGCTACAGCCTTTTGAGGTGCGGACAGATGCCTCTAGCTTTGCCTTGGGTGGAGTGTTGATGCAAGAAGGCCATCCAGTAGTGTTCCGAAGCAGGAAGTTGACTGACATTGAGAGGCATTATGCAACACACGAGAAAGAACTATTGGCTATAGTTGATTGCTTGGAGGAATGGAAACACTACCTTTTGGGATCGAAGTTTGTGGTGAAAATAGATAATTTAGCTGCTAGCCATTTTCTTACTCAGCCTAAGCTAACTAGTAAAAAAGCTAGGTGGCAAGAGAAACTAGCTGAATTTGATTTCTCCTTAGAATACAAACCGGGATCAACCAATAGTGAAGCAGATGCATTGAGTAGAAAAGCCGAACTCGCATCCTTGAAAAGAATTGCCCATTTATCCAGGTGCCAAGTAGCTACCTCTCTTAAAGACAAAATTCGAGCACAGCTGAACAAAGATCCTCAAGCAGTCACAATCTTGAATTTGGCAAAAGCGGGGAAAACGAGACAGTTTTATATAGAATATGATTTATTGATGACGAAGAAGAATAGAATTTATGTCCTAAAAGCAGGTAATCATCGAAGACTACTCCTTCACGAATGTCATGATACTTTATAAGCAGGTCACCCAGGCTGGCATAGAGCCTTGGCACTCATCCAACAAGGATACTACTGGCCACAAATGGAGGAGGATGTACAGGAATATATGAAGACTTGCTTGACTTGCCAACATGACAAGGTAGAAAGATAGAAACATGCTGGGCTCTTGGAACTATTACAAGTACCAAGTAGACCATGGGAAAGCTTCGCTCTAGACTTCATCAGCGGCCTGCATAAAGTTGGAGAGTTTGACACCATATTGGTCATCATTGATCGATTTTCCAAGTATGGCACTTTCATTCCCATGGCAAAAATATGCTCAGTAGAGGACACGGCGCAAGCATTTTTTCGATGTGTGGTCAAGGATTGGGGTGTCCCAAAGAGTATTGTAAGTGACAGGGATAGCAGGTTCATAGGATCATTTTGGAGAGAGTTGTTCAAGATGCTTGGCTCACAGTTGAACTTGTCCACCAACTTTCATCCCCAAACTGATGGTCAAACAGAACGGTTCAATAGCCTGCTTGAGGAGTATCTTCGTCATTTTGTTTCTGCTAGTCAGAAAAATTGGCCCACTCTACTAGATATTGCCCAATTTTGTTTCAATGCTCAAAAGAGCTCTGCTACTAATCAAAGTCCATTTGAGATTTTTACAGGTCAACAAACATTGCTCCCTCATACACTGGACAGATCACACACTGGGCGAAACCCAAAGGCATACCAATTCACCGCAGAATGCGAACAAAATGCGGAGATGGCTAGGGCGCAGTTAGAGAAAGCAGTATAACGCATGAAGAAATGGGCAGATCAAGACCGCCGACCACTTACATTTGAAGTCGGAGATTTGGTGCTGATCAGGATCACGTCCGACTAGTTCCGGTTTCCCAACCATGATAAGAGATTAATGCGCTAATACAAAGGCTCGGTTCCCATCATCACCAAAGTAAGGAAGGTAACTTACAAAGTAGACACGCTAGCTTGGATGAGAGTCCACCCTATGTTCCACGTCAGTCAGCTCAAGCCTTATCATCCAGATATGAATGATGTCAGCAGGGGTAAGCCATAACGACATGCCATTCGTAAGAAGCCATTCTTTGCCAAAGAAGTGGCGAAGATCTTAGAGACTCACAAGCTGAAAGGAAGTCGACATCAAGAGTATTTAGTACAATGGAAGAACCTACCGCCGTCAGAGAACACTTGGGAGAAAGAAGAAGACCTTCATTAATTTCAAGACAAGTTATATGAGTACCATCAAGGCACCCTTTCCTACAAAAGAGCACTTCAGGAGCTAGAGTCTTAGTGACGAGTTGATGAGGGCGTTGACCGTTTGGGTGAGGGAGAATGTAAGGAAGTAACTAGTGCTCAAAGTCACTTGGATGTTAGAGTCCTTGTCCCAGCCCTTCATAGGTGCCCTTACGCCTATGGAAGGTGCCATTGGTTGCCTTATTGTAATCTTGGTTGCCTTGATGTAATATTTGATATATATAAATAAGAATTACCCTTTTACCCCTACGTGTGATGTTGTTATGTGTTCCTCAGTGATACTTGAATTGTTCTTATATTTGAACCCATATGATTATATATAGGTATTATGTGTTCTAATGTCTATTATTGGCTTACACATAACTAATTGATACCCTTGCTGGCTTGTTTGAAAGTGTGCCAAGCAAGCGCTGCACGGTCCGGTCTTGGTGCGTGGTTAGGGACCGTGACAAATATCTAGCTGCGGCACACCCCAATCATTTGCTGAAACTGTAGAATACCGGAAAACGAAAAACCCGAGACTATCATATCATCCCCCAACTAACCAAGCTCGTTTCCTTTTATCTCATAATCGGAAAACCCTGTATAAAATCTCTAGGGTTAGGTTAATTTTATTTTTTAATTTTTTTTTTGGTTGTGCAATTTAAAAAATGGAAGCTAAGCAATTACTCAAGGACAAGAAATTCTGGTTCGCTTCTTTCCTCATTGCCTGGGCTGCTGCTCTTCAGGTACCTAAGTTATATTCTTATGTTATCTCGGTATTATATCATCAGTGTTTGCCATTAACAAAATTTGGTTCCTTGTATGTTTGATAGATTCATTTCATGGATGGATCTCTAAATTTTTTTTTCTTTGTTTTGAACTTTATTTGGGATTTGAAGGGGCATATGATGTGGTTACAGAGGCAGGATTCTTTCAAACAGAAATTTGGGACAGAGAATGAAAATGATAACAATGATGCCCAGAATGACCCATAAAAGGCATCACTGTTCGAAGCTTTGGCAAAAGAGAGTACTAATGAAGAGACTGGTTTTGAAACTGTGTATGTACAGAAAATCCAATTCTTGAATTTCAGAATTTGCTTCAAACGGTATCTGTTTTTCATTGTGTTCGGTTGTTGCTAAAGCAATATAATGCTATATCTTAAGTAACTTAAATGCTTCTGTATATGCCTTTTCTTTACGGTTTTTCTCCTTTTAGAGTAGGGGAAAAGATAATTTTGATTGAATGAATGAAATATCAATATTCATAGATTTAAAACAGAAAGATAGAATGCTCGTACCCTTATGAATAATGAAGTAATTGAGTTCATGACATCAGTGAAATTGTGTGGTTACATCTGTTTAAATTTCTTTTCCTTCATTTCACGTTGTATAGGTTTGTACAATTAGGATTCTTTAGTATTATTGAAACTGTTGAAGTGTTATGAGAGCTGCTGATTCATCTGAATGTGTTAAACATGGTAAAGGCATTGTCTTGAACATCATTGCCCTTGAATGTGCTTAGATAGGTGACGCAGAACCTGAAGTTTGGAACTTTGGAAGTTACTGTAGCTGTTATTATTCATGTTGCTGTAGCATTTTTGTTATTTTATATTGTAACTAAAGTACACTATTTAATGTAGTCAAGTCCTTTTCCAATTGGGATTTTTATTTAGGAATTTATTTTAGTAGGATTTTATGTTAATCTTTGTTCTATTATGATTTATAATTGAGAACTTATTTTAGTAGGATTATACCCAATATGAATAGGGCTGTAATCTGTAGTTTTAAGGTCAGATTTGAAATTTTGAGTTGTAATAAAAAACTACTTCAGCTTTTGGTCCCCGGATGCACGACATGTTTACAAGATGAATGTCATGGAAATGTGGGTGTAAGATTTTTATATAGTCAAATTTGATTGGATAAGATTAAAAATGACCACATCTGACGAAAGATATAAGTAGCACAATCTGGAGAGTAAAATGAAAGGAGGACATCAGGAATGGTTTGGTCTTGTCCTACATAGACCCGTATGTGCTCCAGATAAGTGTGATATATAGATAGTGGAGGGTGCTAAATAGAAAAGAGGTACACTAAGGACCACATGGAGAAAAATTGTCCCAAAAGATCTACTGCTTCTCCACATACAATAGCAGCCATGGGAATCTATGTTTGTTGTTGGGATGGAGGTCTTCTAAAAAAATTAATGTGGATTTAATTATGAACAGAGTAGAATGGAAACAAAGGATTCATATAGCCGACCCTAGCTAGTTTGAGATTGAAGTTCAGTTATTGTTGTTGTTGTTACAGTACTTGTTAGTTATTTTCCTGGTTCTGTAAACTGGAAATTCCAGCTTATTTTGGTAGATGATTTGGTCTCTGTCCTTTCTTTTCAATATTCTCTTGTCCTAGCTTATCGAATTTAGAATTAGGGTCATTTTACTACGTCATCAATTTTGGTATCAAAGTAGAATTTCAATTCCAAATTGTAATGGCTGCAACAAGAGCTAGAATTTCTAAGGTGAATCAAGCTCAAATCAAGCCCTAGAGATGCAGGAGATGTGAAGGAGTAAGAAACTTGCATGGAGATCATACAGGAGTCTGGATGAAAATAGCATAAGATAATCATAATCCTTTAACCTTAACGAAGGAGGTTTGAGGATGGAGAAGAATATATAGAGGAGAATATTAACCCATTTCATAATCCCTTTAGATGGTGGGTTGGAAGAGCAGTTACTAAGAGCTCCTGATCTTAATTCTGGAATTCGAATGAAGTTCCTGATTTCTATGGAAAATTGCGTGTGGAAGGTTTTTTTTTTTTCTTTTTTTGGAATCAAATATAGAGAGAGACTTTGAGTGGAAACTGATGTCTGAAGAGCGTAAAGTCTTATTTGTGAAGCTGAAAGAGACAAGATGAGGGTGGAAAAGGTTGTAGAAGCAAAGGGTTAGACAAGAAAAGCCAAATATTCGCACTTGGAAATTGATGAAAGCCAAATTGAGGAAACAATTCCTTCCTTTTGATTATATGATGAATTCGTATGAGAAATTTCATGGTTTTAGCAACGCAATTGAGTATAGATGAGTATACTAGTGAGATTTATAATTTTTCCCTAAGAGCAGGCATCAATGAGACGGATGAACAACTTAAAGCTTGATATTTGGCAGGATTGAAGTTGACTATTCAAGATGAGACAGAAATTACTCGACTTTTCAATCTTGAGCGTGCTCTTTGAGCACAAGAAAGGGTAGATAGTTATGGTGCCATGAAGCCTCTACCAGTTGGAAGATATTCAGGCACTGTTCAAGAATCAAAAACTTCAAATTCAGCTTGTAAAATAGATCAAAAGGATATCACTATGGGAAACATGTCTACCAATGATTGGGACTCTATAAAAGGTGATAAAGAAAAAGAAATATCTAATTTTAGTGCTTCAAATAATGCCAACAGCAGCTCTAAGGAATCTGGCATTCAGTGTTTTAGGTGCAATCAGCATGGGCGTTTTTCTTATTAGCGTCCCAGTCACCAAGTTGATTGTATAGAACCTGAAACTGATAATGAGAAACCCATCAATAATGAGTAATGTGATGGGAAGAGGACAAGATTGACTTTTTTCTGTCCAAGAAGAAAGTTCTATAATTTGATGGGTTCTTGCTTCTAAAGTGGAAGAACAAGAAGATTGGTGAAGGCATAGCATTGTTTATACCAATGTAACTTGTGAAGGGAAAGCATATGGTGTTATTATTGAATATTGTAGTATTGACAATGTAGTGGCAGAAGTGGCCGAAGATAAGTTGAATTTGGTGATCTAAAAGCAGCCTCACCCTTATAATGTTTTTGGATTAGAAAATGTAATGCAATTTCTAGAACTTCCAAGTTTTTGGTTCAATTTAAAATCAGTTATGCTTACAAGGATGAATTATATTGCAACATTCTACCAATGGATGCTTGTCACATTTTGTTGGGCCGTCCTTATTAGTATGACTGTGATATGGAGCATCACTTAAGTCCAATACCTACACTTTCTACAAAGATAATGAAAGGCTCAAATTGCATCTTCTGGAAGCAGAACATGCTACTAAAGGTGGTTATTTACCCAAGCCTAACCTGAGTGAGACAATAACCAAGGACTTGGGAGTAGGTGATAGTCCTTGTCTTGTGCTAATTTGCTTGGCCGAAAAAGAAAAGACGATGGAGATAAACCAGCTCCATATTTGCAGGTGCAGACCCAATTCATTTCATGAATTTGATGGAAGTGGTGAGCCACTTTCTAAAAGTTGGGTCAATCAGCTAACTGAAAAGCTAAGGGAGGTGGTTCAAGACATTCTTGATGTGAAGTAAGCATCTAAAATTTCTCATCAAGTAGTTAGGCAAACCACATGCAAAAAGCACTTCGATTTTGGGAAAGGAGTTGAAGTGCATTGATTTGGTCATATAACCATTATATACATGTTTACTTGTCAATTGAGTTCTCTCCACCTCGGAGGAATTGATGCAGGACCCTAAGTTAGAACTTTTCACGTTACTGTAGTTATTACTATTCATGCTACTGTTGCAGTTTTTTAATTACTTATTTTATGTTTTAATTAAAAATAGACTTTGTTTGAAGTAGTGGAGTCCTTTTTAAATTAGGATTTAATGTTTAGGAATTCATTCGAGGAGGATTTTATGTTTAGTGCTTATTCTACTGGGATTTATAGTTAAGACCTTACTTTTAGTAAGATTATACCCTTATAAATGGGGCTATAATGTGTAGTTTTAAGAGCAGATTTCAGATTTATGAGCAATAATAAAAACTGGTCCGCTTATGTATTTCTTGGTTGTGCAAACCAGAAGTTCCAGCCTATTTTGGTTGATCATTTGGTCTTCATTTGGTCTCTTTGCCCTCTCTTTTCAATATTCTCTAGCCCTACCTAACTTAACTTAGAATTAGAGTTATTTTCGCTACATCAATAGGAGCATTCAATAATGGCCTTATAAATGCCAGGTTACAGTCCTTCCTGAGAGGCAAGATCTGGGATTCCAAACTATATAGTCAAAGATCACCAAAATCGAAAGTTGAATTATAGTTAAATAGCAAACTTGTAAAGTCAACTTGGACTGAGATTTTACGTTTAGAGGAGTATCACTTTGAATATCTATGGCTATCATATTTGTGAGCCAGAAAAAATTAAGTCAAAGACAAATTGGCACTATTCATTATTGACTATGAATTCATGTCCACATAAGCAAATGCATGCTAACCTCATAGTTGTTGAAGCCTTTCAATTTATAAGTTAGAAACTAACTTGTTATATGAGAGTATTGATTAGTTTAGACCCAGAAAATGCAGTTGAGGTTTGATGCTTTTTATAAAAACACAGGCATGTTAGGTATAGAGACCAAAGTCTAAAGAATGATGGTGAATTTTTCGAGCTGAAATACATCATGTAAACATTTCTGAATTTCAATATCTCAGGGACAAAAGGCCGAGTTTAAGCCACGTTTGAATGAAGGTGTGTTTAGAATAACAGCCAAGGAGGGACTATTGTCAATGTAGGAAGCAGGAACTAAACCATTTGAATAAGATGTTAAATGGTGGTCTTACACAACTAGTGCTAGCAGTCAGATTTCCTATAACTCATTAGCAAGTGGATTAGGCAATCTTGGTTTGGGTACTTCTGTCTGGAGGTAATGATTCAGCCCTTGGAAAATAAATACTTTAATTTCCTTAGAGCACAGAGTACATACATATTCAATTGAGAAATTAGTTTATGCAACTACATGTGAAGCACTGAAGATTGAAATGAGTCGATATTGCTGAGACCCAAAACAGATACGTAGGTATAAATAAGGGATATACATGTTGACTCACTTCGGTTGTTTTTCTTTATAGTTTACATTCACAAGGATATTAGTGGTCTGAGCTTTTACTTGTTGATAGATGAGGAGGCTGTGAGAATCTGAAAACAGTCTGGGGAATTTGTTTTAACGTTTAACTTAATTGGAAGTTGTGCATTGCGAAATAAAAGCTGGAACCTGGATCTTCTTGAGGAAATTCAGATTTTGATATGGATATCCCTTTTGTGTTCACCTATGATTGGAACTAGTTAAGTAGGATATGAATTAGAATCTGTGTTGAATTTCTATCCTAGTTTATCTTGACTCAGCATAAAAATTATGTTGATTCCCCTTACGCCGCGGCAATCAAATACTTCTCGTCTGTAAATACTGTATATTTGATTTTGCCTTTTCTATTCGGGGTTTGTTCGACAAAATTAATTGTATTGATAGCTGTTAGTTGTTAG